ACACACACACACACACACACACACACACACACACACACACACACACAAGTTCACTTACACACACCCACATTCAGCTCTAAGTATTTAGCATCTTTCTGAAAAAGCTAGTGGCTAATTAGCTTAACTACGCTGTTTATTCTCAATAAATAATTCATACACACAGAAAGATGGCATCAGGTACAAAAGTGGTTTCACGTAAGCGAATGAATGTGTGAGTGTTGTGTATCTTGCACATAGTCCGGTTCACTTTTTATGGAGACAGAGACATGATGCACTTTATGCCAAGGCCTCACTTAAAAGCTAATTGGTGTGATAAAGAGACACACAATAAGGTGCACAAATTTACTCCGGACCAGCACAGTTCTGCACACTTCGGGGCCACTGAGCAATTTCAGGGTTACCATAGCAACATCTGATAAGCAACATGTGTAAACAACAACACTCAACAGGCAAACCGAACAGCAGATGGACAGCCTTCGGAGCGAAATCCATAACATAAAACCATCGTCTATAATTTCACTTAATGCAATTACCAGTACTGTTCATCAGGAAAAGGTGCTGAGACTGGTAAGGAATTTTAAAGAAAGGAAAAAAAAACCCTGACTGCACATTGTGTTTGTGCAGATGTGTGGAACTGTGTTCTCAGTACCACTTTGCGAGAGGAGCCCTTGATTGGAGGAGGTCTTCACGAGCCGGAGGAGGGGAGAGCAATTTCCTCCCGGCCTCCGCCAGTTCCGCTGAAATAACAGAGCAGAGGAAGCCCAGCTCTCCCAGGAGGAGACACACATCCACACATCCACACATCCACACACACACATCCACACACACAGGCTGACAAGCTGGCAAGTTAGCCACACAATCACAGGCATATTACACCACAAAGTAATCCAAACACACGCAAAAAAATGCATCAACTAGCAAGAAACTTCTGCAATACATCGATCCGAGATAAATCCTAGAAGCACCTGATAATTGAGCTCAAAACAATATATTTTACAATTCCAACATTAATGTTAAGGTTTTTACACTTTGTCAGGACAAGCAGCCTGTGCACACGCAGCAAATTAGGTCCTGTGATTTCTTTGCAGGCAGGTGAAGCGTCTTCCCCAACAGCTGCTGCACTTTATGATCGCTTGCCTCATGCCTATAAGCGAAACAAGATCACTCGAAGTTCAGCCGTCAAACTTTCAAAATAAATGTCTGCATGAGGTAATTTGTGTCAGTAGGCAGGCCTGTGTGTGTGTGTGTGTGTGTGTGTGTGTGTGTGTGTGTGTGTGTGTGTGTGTG